CCAATAGCCAATTATTTGTCCTATGACAGACTTTCTCCTAAACATAAGGCCTATACATCTAAAGTCTCTAACTTATTTGTCCCGAGAAACATCCAGGAAGCACTTGATAATCCTGATTGAAAATTAGCAGTGATGGAGGAGATGAATGCTCTTAAGAAAAGTGGAACTTGGGTGATTGAGGATTTACCAAGAGGTAAAAAGACAGTCGGCTGTAAATGGGTATTTACTGTGAAATGCAAGGCTGATGGAAGTATAGAGAGATATAAGGCGAGACTTGTGGCTAAAGAATTCACACAAACTTATGGTATTGATTACCAAGAAGCGTTTGCCCCTGTAGCCAAGATTAATTCTATCCATGTGTTGTTGTCCCTTGCAGTGAATTCCAAATGGCCGTTATACCAGTTAGACGTAAAGAATGCCTTCCTTAATGGTGATTTGGAAGAAGAGGTGTTTATGAGTCTACCTCCTGGATTTGAAAAGTGTTTTGGTCAAGACAAAATCTGCAGACTCAAGAAGTCTTTATATGGTCTTAAACAGTCTCCAAGAGCATGGTTTGAACGCTTTGGAAAGGCTGTAAAAAATCATGGCTATCATCAGAGCCAAGCAGATCATACCATGTTCTACAAACACTCTGAAGGGGGTAAACTTGTGATTCTAATTGTTTATGTGGATGACATAATTTTAACAGGTGACGACCTTGAAGAGATAACCAGACTAAAGAAAAAACTGGCAGAAGACTTCGAGATCAAAGATTTGGGAACACTAAAGTACTTTCTTGGCATGGAATTTGCAAGATCGAAAAGAGGAATTGTTGTAAATCAAAGAAAGTATATTCTTGATTTACTCGGCGAAACACGTCTTCTAGGATGTAAAACTGTTGAAACTCCAGTTGAAGCTAACTTAAAGCTTACTCCAGCAAAACCAGAAGATGTAATTGATAGGGAGAAATTTCAGCGATTAGTAGGTATATTAATCTACTTGTCACATACCCGTCCTGACATAGCTTTCGCTGTAAGCATGGTGAGTCAATTCATGCACTCACCGGAACAAGAGCACTTTGATGCAGCCTATAGGATTTTGAGCTATTTGAAGGGAACTCCCGGCAGAGGACTAATGTTCAAGAAGAGTAATAATCTACAAGTTGAAGTCTATACAGATGCGGATTGGGCTGGAAGCACGACTGACAGACGATCAACTTCAGGATACTGCACTTTTGTTGGAGGAAACCTAGTAACTTGGAGAAGTAAAAAACAAAGTGTCGTAGCAAGAAGTAACGCCGAGACTAAGTTTAGATCCCTAGCACACGGGATTTGTGAGGTAATATGGATCAAAAGGCTATTTGAGGATTTGAAGATCTCAGTTCCACTCCCTATAAAGGTATTGTGATAACAAGGCTGCCAACTCAATAGCTCATAATCCAATTCTACATGATAGAACAAAGCACATTGAAGTTGACAAGCATTTCATCAAAGAAAAAATTGAGAGTGACCTAATCTGTATTTCATATGTACCAACCATTCAACAGGCTGCTGATATACTTACAAAAGGACTACAGAAGAGACAGTTCGAGTTCCTAATAAGCAAGCTAGCTATGGAAGACATCTACAAGCCAGCTTGAGGGGGAGTGTTGAAGATATGAATATTCGGTATCAATTATACCGAATATGGAAGATATTGGGCTGATCATAGGAGATTAAGTCAAAGAGCCTAATTGAAGAAGATTAGGAAAGTAGTGATTAGGATTGATTTTGTACAGCAATTAACATTCCATATTTACTGGTCTTTCCTAGAATAGTTTCCTTTGTAATTAGTATTTAAGGATGTGTTGTACACCTACTGAATATACAATTTCATTATTCTTTCTTCTCTATATTTCTCTAGAATTACTGGTACAAGGTGGTTTGTGTCCTTTGTTGATGATCATACCAGAATCACCTGGTTGTTTCTCATGAAAAAAAAATCTGAAGTTGGGCAAATTTTTAAAAATTTCAATACTATGATTCAGACACAATTTGCACAAAGATACAAGTGTTGAAGACCGACAATGCAAAAGAATATTTTGAGACAACTCTAGGAGAATATCTTGGGAGCCAGAGCATTATTCACCAAAGTTCTTGTATTGACACACCCCAACAGAACGGGGTGGCAGAAAGGAAAAACAGACACATTCTAGAGGTTGCCCGTTCTCTCATGTTCACTACCCATGTCCCAAAATATTCCTGGGGAGAGGCTGTTTTAACAGCCACTTACCTAATAAATAGAATGCCTTCCCGAGTCCTGAAGTTTCAAACACCACAGCGTGTCCTTCTTCAATTTTTTCCCAATACTCGTGTCATAATCACTCTGCCTCCTAAAGTATTAGGTTGCTCAGTGTTTGTCCATATTCATGCCCAACACCGAAGCAAGCTTGATCCTAAGGCTCTCAAATGCATATTTTTAGGATATTCGTCACACCAATAAGGGTATAAGTGTTATTCTCTGACTACTCAAAAATTCTACAACTCCATGGATGTCTTTTTCTTTGAAACTCAACCCTTCTATCCCAAAACTGATATTCAGGGGGAGAATTTTACTCAAGAATACCAGCTTTGGGATATTGATGCATTAGAGTCACCTGATGGCCATAACACAAATCCACTCGAGTCATCCCAAGCATCCCAAACACAAATCGAGTTTGACACTCAAACTCCAAATCCAGTCCAGCCCGAGTATGACACTCAAGCCCCTCATAGTTCCACTCCAACTCAGCCTGCAGAAACTAAAGAGTTACGTGTCTATACTAGGAGGAATAAGACTCAAGAAGATAAAACACTGCAGCCAACTCATCACGGCCATGAATCCAACCCGGCTCTGGAATCGCAACACCCACCAGTTAACACTAGTCTTGAAACTGCTCCTAATAATCAGTCTGATGAAGATATTGAGGAAAGGCACACGGTTATGTACTAATCACCCCATTTATAATTTTATTTCATATGGAAAATTGTCCTCCAATCACCGTGCCTTTGTTAGCAATCTGGACAGAATACAGGTTTCTAATTCCATACATAAGGCTCTTCTTATACCACAATGGAAGGAGGCAATTTTGGAAGAAATCCAAGCCCTAAAGAAGAATGGAACGTGGGTGATGTCTAAATTACCATCAGGAAAACGTCTTGTAGGATGTAAGTAGATATTCACTATCAAGTATAATTCAGAAGGGAGTGTCAACAGATATAAAGCTCGCCTGGTTGCTAAGGGTTTCACACAATCTTATGGGATTGATTACCAGGAGACATTTGCACCAGTAGCTAAACTTAACACTATTCGAGTACTACTCTCACTGGCATCTAACCTTGACTGGCATCTCTATCAACTGGATGTGAAGAATGCATTCCTCAATGGGGATCTTGAAGAAGAAGTGTACATGGAAATTCCTCCTGGACTTAAAACTCCGACTAATACCAATAAGGTATGTAAACTCAAGAAGTCCTTATATGAACTTAAGCAGTCACCAAGAGCATGGTTCGACAAGTTTACTAAGGCAGTAAAAAAGGTTCGGTACAATCAGTACCAGACGGATCACACCATGTTTGTTAAGCAATCACCATCAAAGAAGAAAGCAATACTTATCATGTATGTCGATGACATCATCCTACTGGGGATCATGATGAAGAAATTCTAAAACTCAAAAGCTTTCTAGCTAAGGAGTTTGAGATCAAAGATTTGAGCAATCTAAAATATTTCCTAGGAATGGAAGTAAGTAGCTCGATCCAAGAGAGGTATTGCGGTTTCTCAACGGAAGTATGTACTCGATCTCTTGAAAGAAACAGGAATGCTAGGGTGTAAGCCTGCTGACACCCCTATGGACCCTACAGCAAAATTGGGAAGCAAAGATGATAGTGCGTCCGTTGACAAAGGAAGATATCAAAGGTTAGTCGGAAAACTTATTTATCTGTCCCATACCAGACCAAACATCAGTTTTGCTATAAGTATGGTAAGCTAGTTCATGAACAGTCCAACAGAAGAACATATGGAAGCAGTGTATATGATTTTGAGATACTTGAAAATGACACCAGGACAGGGTTTGTACTTCCAGAAAATAGCAAACAGGGAAGTTAGAATATTTACTGATGCAGATTGGGCAGGGTCTGAAACTGATCGAAGATCAACCTATGGATATTGTACTTATGTTTGGGGTAATTTAGTTACTTGGAGAAGCAAAAAACAGCAGGTGGTGTCCCGAAGCTCAGCAAAGGCAGAATTTAGAGCCCTTGCACACAGAATTTGTGAGGGAATTTGGTTGAAACGAGTACTTTACGAGCTGGAAATCCCTATTCCAGGAACTATGAAGGTGTTATGTGATAATCAATCAGCTGTCAATATAGCCAAGAATCCAGTACACCACGATAGAACCAAGCATGTGGAAATCGATCGAAACTTCGTTAAAGAAAAGCTCGAGAACAACACCATATCACTCCATCATGTCCCTACAAGTCAGCAAACTGCAGACATCCTTACTAAAGCCTTGCCTAGGAAGAAGTTCGTATACCTTGTCTCCAAGCTAGGATTACTTAACATCTACAACCTAGCTTGGGGGGGAGTGCGGAAATTCGGTGTTTAAATTACTAGGGTTAAGTTAGTCTTTTGGTTTCTAAGAATAAAGAGATTCGGATAATGACTTACCTGATCCTCTCATTTATTTTTCCTGTTTATTATCTTTACTAGGATTAGAGATATTGTTTTAGTTTGTCAGTTCCTTGTTTTGAGGAATCGGTTGGGGCATCTTCTCCTATTTAAACTTATTTTCGTTATTCATTATTTAATGAGAAATATTCTAGTTCTTTCTCAATTTTTCACAAGAACCAAAAGTCTAACTAATCTTTTTTTTTCTTTTGGATGCACACTACTGAACCTGCACCCTCCCAAACCCAAGCCCCACCCATCTTACCCCATGGTGTTCTAGCAGCCATTCAACTAATCATAGAAGCTAAAATGGAAAAGTAGAAATTATCAGTTACCTTAGCCCATAGCGCCATCTCCACAACATCTATACCAACAACTTTGGGAAGACGCCCTAATACATCTTTGCATATGTTTAAAATGCATAATAGAAGGCGGTTCCTGGTGAAAATTTTATAACAAATAAAAGTTAGAAAAAGCAGCAATTGAACGCAAAGCACTAAATTTTAGGCAAAGGGTAATACCAATAAAAAAAGAGACAAAGAGAGACATCTTAAGCATGAGTTTACCCATTAATATTACCTATCATCGATATTGCGCATGGTCCACTGAGGTGGAGCAACACTCTGGCTTCTAAGGTTATCAAATCCCTACAAGAGATTCAGTCAAAAGTTGAAGAGAAAGGGACATAGATTGTCTAGTCACCACTTGTGTCCAACCATCAAAAACGAATGGTAGATAGTCTACTGGTAATACACAAGAGATGGAGCTTTACCAGTGTAAAAGTACACCCCGTGGGGTCATTTGCAATAACCTCCACCTTTGAAAGATGTTTTAGCTTGTACAACTTTGCGGGCTGCAAGAGAAACGTAAATTTCAGACTTAAGAGCAACACAGGAATATGATTCAGTCAACCTTACAAAAAGTCAATTAAAAAATTATTTGTTCCGGGGTGCTAATCAAAAGAGACCTATTCTGTTCAATTGTCTGTAAATAAATCTCCTTCTACTTTTTTGCTGTATGCGTGAGGATTAAAGTCAGAAAAGTTCGATTGTCAATTTTAGAAGTGTATCCAAAACTAGGGACTGCAATGCTTGAAGAATTCCTTGAAATAAAAGTATCTAAGCCTATTTTTTTCCAAAATGAAACAAACAAGTAAAATTTACCTCAAGAACTCCTCCAGTGGAATATTTTAGAACTCGAAGAAAGGCTTTAGTCCGCTGACCTTTTGATTTTGCTGCAAATGGCAAACCACACAATTAGTTATGCAGATGTAACAAATTCTACGGATATCTCAAGAGAACTTCTTAGCATCCCACATTTGGACATTGTTTTGTCAGCCTTAGTCAAGAGAGGAACGGGCATATACAAACTCATTAGTCCAATGCAACTTGTCAAAACTTAACAAAGGAAGGTTTCAAGATGAACTTTATTTCGTATTGCGCCATAACAATACATAGCAGACTCCTCAAGGCGTTGAATGACTTCATAAATCAAGCACCCAAAAAATTTTTCACATAGACATGCTAAATTTTCTCAGGCTAATAGAAAAAAACTCTCCTTTTCCCAGAATCTCCTGTGGTAAAAAGAACAGCAAGGTGTCAAAGTAGTACTCCAAAATTTCAGGTGTTTCATGTGAAGTCATTTGCGAATTCGGGATGTCCGAGGAAAGGCTATTAAGCCAAGAAAACGTGATCCTCACTTTCATTAATGTGGAATTATCGGCGAATGATAAACACTACATCGTCGAAGTGCCATCGCTAATACTGCCACATACGTCACCTACCAACCCATCCCGTAAATATCATTGAAACACCAACCACATTGCACCTAATCCTTCAGCAGATTATAAGAATCAGAACCTTAATTTTAAGAAGCTAAAAAGCAAGTGCAGAACAGATATGGCAACTAGAGCTTTAATCTAGGTTTACCAACACCGTTTCCGAATCCCAGATTTTCGCAAACGCATACAGTTCAGACGTTTCGAATAAACAAAACCGTTGAGGGCTAATCTAATCGTGAGAAGATTATTCAATATATTGATGAATCCAAAATTACAGATACATAGAGAGAATTCCGTACTGGAAAGAGCAAGAACCCTAGGTTTCGCCATGTGACGGCCAAGCTTGCCCGATTTGCCCCAAACTCCTCGACCCTTGACGACACGGATCGACATGACGATCTTCTGCTTGGTGTCCTCAATTGCGGCCTCGCATGCTCGCCTGAGCTCCTCGTCGTCTGCGCTCGATTTTGCCATTGCTGGTGCTCCACTCGCTAGATCTCAATCGTCTCTCCCTTTCTGTAAATGTACAAACGCTTATACGACAGGTAAGAAAATGGAGAAAATAAAATGTAAAGAGATGGAAAAAGACAACGAGTAAAAATGATGACCGTTTGACACTTGTAGTTGCGTTACAGGCTAGCGTCGTAACTCTTTTTTTTTTTTTTTTTTACATTACTAGTCAAAGCGTTTGTATGACCCATAAACCAATGTTATACAAATCATGAGGAAAAAAAAAAAAGAAGAAAAAATAAATAAATAAACGAAATAAAGATAAAAGTGAAAAGAAAATTTACAGTGCGTTTAATTAGTGTATTCGTATTATGATTTGAATTATAGTTCGTAATTCGTTATAATATTTTTTCTCATAAAAAATACACATAAATTGAGAATAATTTTAAATTATTATTCTAAATCTATGAACCAAACGTAAAGTAAAACAAAAGACATAGAAACAAATATAAAAAATTTGTACGAAATGTGTCGTAATTGAAATTGAAATTTATAAAAATTACAAGTAAAAAGTGTTTATGTGAGGATATATTTAAAAATAAATTAATTTAGTAGTAAATTCAAAATTAATATTTTAAATAATTGTACAAAAAATATTTAAAATGAAAAATATTTAAAAATATATAAAAATTAAATGTTAAGAGATGGAATAAGAAAATATTAAAAAAAATAAAAAATCTAGAAATATACTAAAAAATAAAATAAAAAAGCTAAAAAATGCAACAAAACGGGAGGCAACGGAACGCCCCTAAAAAATTGATTGTCACTTAGATATATAAGATAGGATAGGATAGATTACACTTAGCCCCAGCCACCAAGTCTTTCTTTCACCAAGTAAATAATAATTATTCTCATTACTTCTTTAAGAGTGTGCTTGGTATTAGAGATGGAGGGAAGGAAATGAGCGGAGGGAGAATCTTAGAGGATGTTTGGTAGATGGATTCGTTCCCTGATTCGAATCATGATTCGTAGTTCGCTACAATATTTTTTCTCACAAAAAATTCACGTAAATAAAAAATGATTCGAATCACATGATTTAAATTCTCCAACCAAACGTCCTCTTAATTTATTATTTGGTTGGAAAGAGAAGATGAGGGAGATGAGAGGTGGAGCGACGTATTTTTCTTCATAGCCCCGAAGATTGGATCCTTTAATCAATTAAAGGATTTAAACAATCCATCACTTTTTAAATTTTTAAAGACTATTTTACTTTTTAAATAAATTATTAATAAATAGTCTGAGTGGATAATTTCATAATTTCATAAATAATTATCATTCATCTTTTTAACTCACTCTCTATCTGACTAAATAATTATTAACGAAAATAGTAAAAAATAGGCTAATATGAAAAGCTTAAGAAATTATATAGGCCAATTTTTAGTTATAGAAATTAATATGCCATAACTTGTCAAGTTATGGTTCATAACTAGATAAGTTATGAACAAACTTGTCAAGTTATGGTTCATAACAAGACAATTTATGGATAAAAACCGTGAATTATGGACAATAATTTGTCAAGTTATGGTTTATAACCAGACAAGTTATAGATAAAAACAGTAATTTAGCATATTTATTAATTTATGTAAACTATTGGCCTATTAATTTTAATTCATCTCAAGTCTTTGCATATTTTCCTCTTTCTCCCTAATATTAATCATCTCCATCTTTCTTGCCTTTCATTCTTTCAACTTTTCATCCTTCCAATTCTCAATCTCTCTAATCAAACAGACTTTAAAGGGAAAAAAAAGAAAGAAGTTATAGGTGAAGTGGGATGAGGGTGTGTTAGCAGGTAAATATATAAAAGGGCTGTTCTTTTGCTGTTTTTGAGTTAGGTGACTTGAGTGTTGATTTTGAGTTAAGTTTGAGTTATAACTTGAGTTGAAGTTATAACTTAAATTTGTGTTTAGTTGTATACATTTGAGTTATGATTTGAGATAAGAATCTTTTTTGGGATGTTTGGTTCATGGATTCAAAATCATGATTCAGAATCATTTTCATTTTACGTGTATTTTTTGTGAGAGAAAATACTATAGCGAGTCACGAACCATGATTCGAACTATGGTATGAATCCCTCTACCAAATGCCCTTTGAGTTTGTGTTTGAGTGAGTCAAAACTTGAATTTGTATTTAGATAGTATTTTAATAAAAACTCAATGCTGATGGAAAATTTTAATAGGGTATATGAGTGGGGTTTAATTCGTCTTTTCGTTGTCAACGCATAGAAAAAAAATCATCTCAATCAGAATTAAAATGAAAAGTTATAGCATTTTTAAGAATAAAAAAAATATTGTTCATTAATTTGAGTTCGAGTTGAAGGAAAAACTTGAACTCGAGTTTTAGTCTCAAACTCGAATTCAAACTTAAAAGAACATAAACTTGAATAAAATTGTAACTCGAGTTGTTTTTTTGAGTTTTTAACTCCAGAATAGGGCTGCCGAACAACCCTAAAATGATTTGGGGACACTCCTTCATTTAAATATTTTTTAAATTCACCAATTGTGAAAATTTATGTTGTTATTAGTTGTCTTATCTGGCCGATAACAATTACAAAATAATAATAAATAATAATAATAATAATGATTATTATTATTATTTTTTTGTGCTTTCTGAATTTTAGAGTCATTATCAGTTTATCCCTTTAACTTTAAAAACTTACATTTTGCCCGTTAAATTTTAAATTATTCCCCACTAAACTCTTTTTGTTGTAATTTTTTCTCCACTTCCTTTTCTTATTCATTCATTTTATAAATTATACTTTTTTCTTTTTAGAATTGTATTGGTACAATGGATGTCGTACACGTTCTAGCTACAATACCACCAGAAGATCAGGTGCCATTTATTAGACGAAAGCGTGTGTCAATCTAAAATGTGATGGCTACTCGTGATTTCAGTATGAAATTTATATATGTTGGAAAGATAGTGCCCATGATACAAGAATATTCTTATCAGCACTACGTCATGCAGATTTGAATTTTCTAACACCACCTGAAGGTTAAAACCTTGTCTATATTTATGAAATATGTTATACATTTTACTAATTCTTGTGTTTTTATTTCAATAGGTAAATATTATTTAGTTGACTTGGGCTATCCACAATTGAAAGGATTTCTTGGACTTATAAAGGAGAACGATATCATTTACCACAATTTTGAATGAGTCATCGACCAACGGGTTATAAAGAGGTATTCAACTAAACACATTCTTCTCTTCGAAGTGTCATTGAATGCACTTTTAGTGTCTGAAAGAAAAATAGAAAATTTTGAGAGACACGTCTAATTATTCATTTACGAAGCAAGTGAAAATAATTATTATAACAATGACGCTCCATAACTACATTAGCAAGCATGATAAGTGTGATCGATATTTTCAAAAGATTGAGGATAATTTAAATATTTTCGTTTATGAAGAGAATCAACTAGATGACAATGTAAAAGAAAATCAAGCTTTACTATCACTGAAAATGGATGAAGTATGAAATCAAATTGTCGAAAGTTTAATGAACACGACTTAATTCATTTCATGCATCTACGAGTTTTTGAACATGAAATGTACATTTTTGTTGTATATGTTGATTACTCACTAATGCTCCTTTTTGCTGTAATTATATTGTGAATGAAAAAATGAAAAAAAGAATTAATTATCATAAATTTATTGTTAGAAAATTCAGAATCATAACATATGTTTTTTTTTCAATTAAACAAGAATTTCTAAATACCAAAAACAATTATATATATTTAAGTTTCATATTATGTTTATTTTAATCATTTAAAATGCTCACAATAATTCAACATCACAATTTATCAAACACTATTATATTAATTTTAAAACATGCATAATTAATATAATTACATTTTATTAAATACTCGACTATTTTTTATAACAACTATTTTTTCTTTCAACATATTTAAAAATAATTTTTCTCTACCAAACTAACCCTTAATCCAATTGAAAAATTGAGCTGAGGCGGTAAATACCAAATGGGCAACCCGTCCTGTCTCTCTCCGGAGAGGGAAGAGAAAATTTTTTTGAGAGGAAAAATGGTTGTTGATGTGGGCCAAGTTCGTCGCCACCGTTGGAGCCTCGGCTCTGGCTTCGTCATCGTCGTTGTCAGAGCCCTACCATGGCCCTCAGCTTCCGCTCACAATCCGATGGCGGCGTCTGAAGAAGAAGATGCCTGCACAGGTCTAGATGGACGGCAGCTTCGACATGATGCCCCACGGCCATTGCAACGCCTTCCGCCAGGCGCCTTCTACTATTCCCCTCCTCTGTATGGTCTCTTACTTCTTGTTTTCCATTTTTCACAAATTTTTAAATCTCTATTCCTGTTATAGATCTTTTTGCAGATTTATTGGGATTTTCAGTCTCCATTTTGTGCCATTATAATTAAACCTAAATATTATAAAAAGCCTAATATCTTTAATCTATTAGTGAATCTTGTTCTTGTGCAATTTATTTGTTATTTTTACTTTGCAAAAATCGAATATTTGTCTGATTAACAAGTAGTTTCTACTGCAGATCCGAGTATGATACTCTCGGTACCTCCATTGAAGCTGCTATTGCTCATCTTGGAACTGCTTTTAGTCAAGGTTGGTTTCATGGTTAATACCAGTGCTATTGTTAATCGATTATCTTATCTAGAAAATTTTCTTTCTTTCGATGACCTATTTCTGATTTCTTCTGCTTTTAAATATCAACTTTTGATCTTTTGTGTAATTGATTATGTTGGCAGCGTGTTTGTCATGCAACATATCTCAAGGTTAGTTTTTATTTGAGTTAGTTTTAAAGTTGACTTGAAATTTGATATAGCAAGTTGAGCACCTATATAGAAGGTTTGCCAGCATTGTTCCATGGTGAACAAAATCTGTTTCTCGAAGAAGATACAAGCTCAAAATTCTTCAAGGGAGGAAAAAAAAAACCTCAACCAATTAGATAAGAAATGTTAAATGTAATTTTGATACACATTAGCTTTTATCTTTTCTTGGATTGTAAAAAAGAAAAGTAACGTTATCGAAAGGAAGATGAGATAATAGATCTGGTTGAGTGTTTTAAATAGTCTCCATTATCCATTTATGTTGATCAGATGATTACTCACTCTTCCGGTTTAGACTTTTAATATCAAGTTTGAGAATCCATAGCTGTATGAAAATACTTGTGTCTTTGCAAGATTACTTCAGTTCTGGGGTCAGATAACAATAGCCTTATTATCAGATTTTGCTTTCTTTTTCTATGAGATGTTGAGCATATTCGTTGCTTCTTTGGGTTCTTTGATGTAGCTTTGAAAGAAAAAACCCAGGACTCTGATTCCTATTATATATTTATCTGCAGAAACTGTTGTAACAATGCCCTCTTATCACAAAGTTACTCAAGGTAGTCTTTTCTACCGTTGATAACTTTGTTACCGTATTGTCTCTGCTTTTTTGTATATTTCAATTTCAGCCATTACTGTAACATGTGATAGCTGTTAGCTATAGCTTTTTACCGTTAGTTTTTATATTTAGATTTAGAGTGTTTACTTTCGATGTCTCGTCTTCAAAGACCAATGATGATCTCGTTTATTAGCACGTGTCTATTTTTTCCCATTGTGAATTTGCTACGCGTGCTTGGGCATTTTTTTTTATTTTTTATTAACCATTAAAGTTTTGAGTCTATGCTTTCTTGTAGCTTTCGTTTGTTTATGGCTTTCATGGATTGAGTGACCAGTGTTGTCTTATATATGTGGATATATACCTACTTTATGAATGTTTCTTATATTTGCTTTCTAAGTATTAGTTTTGCAGCAATCTGAGACGAGCGGTGAGGTAGCACACCCAAGATGGTTGGCTTCAGGGGTATTTGAATGTAAGAAAAGCTTAAAATATAAACAAGAAAATGAAGTTGTAAGGAGAACTTTGGCGGTTACTGTCTTTTGAGGTATAATGTTTTTCTGTCTTCTTTGACCATTTAGTTGCTAAGAAAGTGTTTGGGGTAAGCAACGAAGGAAAAGCAAGGAAAAAGCAAAATATGATAATGTTTCTGTCTCCTTTCTTATTGTTCTTTCACGTTGCTTTTCTTCGCGATTCCCAGCATCATCCCACAGACCACAGTTATTTGTACTGTTCATCAACGTATCTCTCCTATTCTTCTTTTTCTTTTTTATTTTTTTATTTTTTTTTAAATCTGGTGGTTAATTGAGAAGTTGTTTATGAAATTGAACCTCAAACTTTATTAAGAGCATGATGATTCTGATTGATTTGGAATTGGATGGAATAGTAACCTTTTGTATTTTTTTTGGGTTCAATTGAAGTTTGCTTCGTAAGTTTGCTGCTTTATTATGTTAAGCGTCATTTTACTTTATTTTATTTATTGTTCAAGTCTTGTAGCTAATATCAATGATGACCTCTGAATGGAGACGAAAATCACCCGCTTCTTGTTCTTGTTCTTCTTATTCTTTTTTATTTTTTTTTTATTTTTAAATTTCTATGTTCCTTAGTTTTTTTTCCCACTGTAAGTTTTTGCCCTTTACTGTGCCACGTATGACCTCTGAATGGAGACGAAAATCACCCACTTCTTCTTCTTCTTCTATTTTTTTTTTTTTTTTTTTTTTTTTTTTTTTTTTTTTTTGTATTCCTATGTTCGGTTAGTCTTATTCTTCTTCTTTTTCTTCTCTTTTTTTTTTTTTTTTTTTTTGCTTCTTCTTCTTCTTCTTTTTTCTTTTTTGTATTCCTATGTTCGGTTAGTTTTTTTCCCACTGTAAGTTTTTGCCCTTTACTGTGCCACGTTTGAGTTTTGCTTCTTCTTCTTCTTCTTTTTTCTTTTTTGTATTCTTATGTTCGGTTAGTTTTTTTCCCACTGTAAGTTTTTGCCCTTTACTGTGCCACGTTTGAGTTTTGCTTCTTTTTTTTTAATTCCTATGTTCGGTTAGTTTTTTCTCACTGTATGCTAAGTTTTTGCCCTTTACTGTGCCACGTTTGAGTTTTGCTTCACCATCTGTTAGCCTTTAGCTTTTTACACGTTACATGAATTTTCAAGATGACATGTTACGTGCATGCTTTTTTTTTTTTTAATTTTTCTTTTTCTTCCTTCCCCCCTTTTCTCTAATTATTTATCTTCTTCATTTTCGTCGTTTTACTTTTCTTTGTTATGTTATATTTCCATTCCTCTCATTGCTCTGCTAGCTAGCTACCATCATTCTGTTTGTTTTGGAGATCTATTCTTTTTCATTTTCTTTTCTTCCTTGCGGTTTTTCTTTTTTCTATTTTCAGAAATTGTTGGTGCCTTTCTTCTCTGTTCTTCGTTTTCTTTATTGCAGAGTTGTTGTTGTTGTTGATTTTTTTTTTTGTTTTTCCTTCCTTTTCTTTTCTTCTCTCCCTCTCTCACAAAGGAAAGTTAGTGGTGTGCAAAAGAAGTGAATTCATCGTTTGCAATCTCCGGTGACGTCATACTGTTGTTTTACTCCACTTTTGCCTAAAAGGTATGGCTATTTTGGATTTTGAAAGAAGTTTTGAAATGATTAGTGATATTAAACATAATCTTCGTTAAAAATATGATTGCATTAAACGAAAATTTCTTTAGGATATCTTGTTGTTGCTCTGTCTTTTTTGGATTATATAAATTTATGACAGTACATATTACATTTTAAACTTAACAATTGGTCATGTAGAGATGTGATTCTTAGGTTTCATTTACGTAAAATCTAATTCTCTGTATTTATTATTGTTTTGGCGGATATTGATTATGTTCATGAACTTTTATCTTCCTTCTCATTGAGCTTCTGATATTTTCAATAAATTGTATGCCTAGTGTTTGTTAAAATGACTAATCAACAACGAACTTAAGTGTTTTTTTCTTTGAATATGTTATTAGCTTTATTGATTTTTCCCCCTTTTTCCATGAGCTTTTATCTGAACGTATTTTGCTTTGTAAACTGTTTCAAGATCAAAATCTCCGATAATGAGATTGACGCCACTGAATACATACTGGTGACAGATCGTATTGGTCACTTTTTCTCGGATTAAAATATATGCCTCAAGTTCATTGTGTTCTCTTTAATTTTTATTTAGATTTCAGACATCCTTGCACATTGAACTATACATAATCAACAGCTTTATGTTTCTGTTTTAATCTCCTTGTAATATTGAATATATTCTAACTATGGTACTGTATGTTCTCACGTTAAAATATTCCTTTTCCTTTACAAGTTTACATACTTTCATATTTGAACATCTTGATGGCAGTTATGATGGAGAATCTTGTACAGGAGCGATGAAAAAAAAAAAAACGAAACCCAAAAACAAAAAAAAGTGGCATGAATGAAAAATAAAGAATATGAGTGAAGAAGACAAAGAAGAGTCACGAAAAAGAAAAAGAGAATATGTTAGGAGGAGGAAGTTGATAAGCACGTAAAAGAATCTAAACAATTCAGGACAATCAATCCCTAGAATTATGCACAACGAGCCAAAATGCGAGCTCAAAAACTGAATTAATGGCAGAAGAATACAAATCGGTGACCTAGGTATGGGGGTGTTCAAGTGACCCCGTGCACTCCCTATTCTAACTTGTCTCAGAAATTCAAGATAATCCTCGATGAATCCCCTTCCCTTCTATTTCTACAATTCTTATTCCAGTAACTAACTTTCCCCCTAACTCTACAGCCTAACCAACTAATTGCTGACTATCTACTACATAACCGCCTCCTGACTCGCCAGCTCACTCATGACTTGCCAGCTCATCTCTCTGCCCTGCCAGCTCATCACCCTATCCAAAAATACCTCCTTGACTCATGTCTCCACTACCGTTCCCTACCCCAGCCACCATCATCTCCCGAGTCTTCCTCCACATGTAGGTAAAACGCAAAGGAGGCTTATCATTACTCCCGCTCCAAAGACGCACCTTGTCCTCAAGGTGGAAATTAGGGAACTGGCGTTCGATGGCCACATAGGATTCCCAGGTCGCATTATGCGCCGGGAGATGCTCCCATCGGATTAAAACCTCAGACTCGGAATGCCCCCCTACCACACGCTAGCGCACACCTAGTACAGCTGTTGGCGTGCCACACAACTCCAAATCTCCCGTCAACTGTGGTAGAATCGTAGACGCAACCTGGCCACTGCCAATCGCGCGGCGAAGCTGGGAAACATGAAATACCGGATGAATGGCAGCCTCTTCCGGCAGGCAAAGTCAGTAAGCCACAGGTCCAACACGGGCAGTGATCGGAAATGGACCATAGAAACGTGGACTTAACTTCTCATTGCGGCGTTGAGCCAAAGACACCTGACGGTAGGGGCGCAACTTAAGGTACACTAGATCTCCAACCTCAAACTGCACATCACGGCGTTTTCCATCAGCCACCAATTTCATTTGCTGTTGAGCACGAAGCAGATGAGACTTGAGTAAGTCCAACATGGCATCCCTGTCCTGTAATTGTCGATCCACAGAGTCCACCAAGGATGTGCCAATTCCATAGCGCAACAACGGAGGTGGAGCACGGCCGTAGACCACCTGAAACGGAGTAGTACATGTTGCCGTATGAAACGAGATATTATACCAATATTCTGACCAAGCCAACCACTTATGCCATTTGCCTGGGCTTTCCGATGTAAAACAACACAAATAGGTTTCGATACACCTATTCACGACCTCCGTTTGTCCATCCGACTGCGGATGGTAAGCGGTGCTGCGCGCGAGAGTAGTCCCCATTTGCTTGTGAAGTTCGGTCCAAAAGTGACTCAGAAATATCCGGTCACGGTCGGACACAATTGTCCGTGGAACTCCATGGAGACGCACAACCTCCTGTATGAAACTCCTAGCTACCGACTCAGTTGTAAACGGATGTTTCAAGGCAATGAAATGTCCATATTTGCTACAACCACCAAAATAGTATCGTATCCCTCCGAACGAGGCAATCCCTCTATAAAATCCATTGAAATATCCTCCCACACTTGTTCGGGAATGGGCAGAGGCTGTAATAGGCCACTAGGTGCTAACGTAGAGGCTTTGCAACGCTGGCAAACGTCACATGTGGCCACATACGAAATCACATCCTTCTTCATCCTGGACCAAAACCAGTCCGCTGCCAAACGTCGGTAAGTCTTAAGAACACCCGAATGGCCTCCAAGAACCCCATCATGGTACGAATGAAGTAGTTTAGGAATGAAAGGCGAACCCCGGGGAACTACTATTCTGCCCTCAAACATCAGCCGCCCCTGCTCAAAGGAAAATCTAGGGTACTCGTCGGACTGGAGCCATAAAGCCGAAATAATTTGGCTGAGCTTCTCGTCTTGCAACACCTGGCGCTGCAACTCTTGTGAGTCCACAATGGAAGAAACCAACAGGGCACTTAGTCCGGGCGAGTAAACAATCCGAGATAGCGCATCCGCAGTGCGATTTTCCTGCCCTGGCTTGAACTGAATTTAGAAATCATACCCCATCAACTTTGTAAGCCACTTTTGGTGCTCCACACTAACAAGGCGTTGTTCCAGCAAGTACTTAAGACTTCGCTAGTCAGTACGGATCACAAAATGACGGCCGAGCAATAAGGACGCCACTTTTACACCGCCAACACAATGGCCATTAGTTCTCTCTCATACACTGATTTCCCTTGAGCCCGCAAAGATAGAGCCTGGCTAAAATATGCAATAGGTCGCTGGTTCTGCATCAACACTGCCCCCACTCCATACCCCGAGGCATCAGTTTCTAGCAAAAATGGTTTCGTGAAATCCGGAAGAGCTAAAACAGGCACGGACGTCATAGCATGTTTCAAACGAGAAAAAGCTAGTGTAGCCTCTTCCGTCCACTGAAACCCATCCTTCTGTAGCAGGTTTGTTAGGGGCCCTGCAATGTGACTGTACCCTGCGACAAACTTACGATAATACCCCATCAAACCCAAGAATCCCCGCAAATCACGAACCGTAGTCGGGGTTGGCCAATTCAGCATTGCCTTAATTTTTGCCGGATCCGCCAACACGCCCCTGCCTGAAACGATGCGTCCCAAGTACTCAAAGGACTGCTAGCTGAAACTACACTTCTTCACATTCGCAAACAATTAGTGCTGCTGCAACACCCCTAACACTTGATCCAAGTGATGTACATGCTCCTCCAAAGTTCGGCTGTAGACAAGTATGTCATCGAAGAAAACTAAGACAAACTTTCGAAGGAAAAATCGCAACACCTCATTCACGAGTGTCTGGAATTTTGCCGGAGCATTGGTAAGGCCGAATGGCATCACCAAAAACTCGTAATGGCCCTCATGAGTGCAAAAAGCAGTTTTGGGCACGTCCTCCGGTTTGACTCGGATTTGGTGGTATCCCGATTTTAGATCAATCTTAGAAAAAATTGCTGCCCCGTGAAGCTCGTCGAGAAGTTCATCGATTATCGGAATAAGGACTCACACTTGCCCGGATAATCCTTGCAGCCAACATTTCTCCCACCAACTTCTCAATTTCCTCCTTCTGGACCTGAGGATATCAATAAGGCCGTACATTAATCGGGGAAGTCCCCGCCTTCAACACTATCGCATGATCCTTCGCACGTTCCGGAGGTAACCCAGCTGACATCTCAAACACCGAAGATCTTCGGTGTAGTACCTCCTCTAACTCCTCAAGTACCAACCAATTTTTTTCCCGAGTACTCAACTCCAGATTATTCCACTCCAGCCACAACCCCTGCCCCTCCTGACTAAACGCTCTATGTAGAGCCTTTAAGGACACCGAAGTCCTATTCAAACTAGGGTCCCCCTTCAAAGTCACCTGTCGATTTCCCACCGTGAACTTCATGGACAAATTCTTCCAATTCACCGTCGTAACTCCCAAAGTCTCCAGCCACTGAATGCCCAGAATCATATCCGAACTTCCCAATTCCAAAGGCAAAAAATCCTCCACAACCTCTATTTCCTGCAAGGTGACCATGACACCTCTACACACACCCTCACCCTTGACAGATAACCCAGTCCCCATAACCACTCCATAATCACAAGTTCGGTCCACTGGCAATTCCAATTTCCTCACTAAATCAACAGAAATGAAATTATGCGTGGCAGTACTATCAATCAAAACTATTACCTCTCGTCCACGCAGCATCCCTTTGAGTTTCATGGTTTTAGGTGATGTTAATCCGACCGCTGAATTAAGGGATAGCTCAACCACTTCCTCCTCCACCTCCGTCTCAGCTCCGTCTTCTTTCTCCCCTGCACCTTCCTCCTCTTCCCGGACGATGAGCACCTGCAACTCTCGGTTGGGGCATCGGTGTCCAAAAGAGTAGTTTCCATCGCAACGATAGCACAAGCCCTTCTCCCTCTTCGCCTGAAGCTCTGCATCGGTAAGCCTCCTGAACGACGCCGTCCCGATGGCAGCGTCCTTGGGCTTTTCAGTCGTCACCGACGAGCGCCCCGTGGCCACAGCTGAAGTAGTATTCCTTGATCCTCCACCGAATGACTGACTACTCCTCAGCCCAATCCCAGACATAGCCGAGCCTCCCCTGGACCACGAATTAACTGGAGTTGTTTGGGCCTTGGGCCCACGAACCAGCAGATTACGCTCCTCCACCCGTTGGGCGAGCTCCATAATACGGCCCAAACTGTTGGGTTTCAACATACGTATCTCAGCTCTCACCTCTGGCTTCAGTCCATTCACGAACGCACTCTCCAACACTTGCTCTGAAACCTCCGTTAACGGCGCGGCCAAAGTCTCGAACGGCCGGTGGTACTCCCTCACCGTGGTCTTCTGGTGCAACGATAGAAACTTCTCACAAAGGGTTCCTTCTTGTGTCGAACGGAATCTTTCCAGAACCATCCGTTTCATCTCTGTCCAATCATGGATCGCCCGCCTACGGTCCTCCAACTGGAACCAAGCTAGGGCTTCTCCTTCGAGGCTCACCACCGCCACGTCCAGTTTCTCCATCTCCGACAACCTATTCATGGAGAAAAATCGCTATGCTCTAAAAATCCAGCCATTTGGATTGTCGCCGTCGAAAACCGGCATCTCCACCCTTCGGGTCCGAAATTCAGCGCGAGCTCCTCCCTCCCGCCAATCCGCCGGTCTCTCTCTTGTTTCCGCCGTCGGAGCCGACTGTTTAACCGGAATCCCGTTTTCTGCCTTCGGCGACTCCCGATCTGCGGAATTCCGCTGCTTTAGCAACTCGTCCATCCTTGTCAACAGCAATTCCAGCCCTTGCTCCAATCGAGGTATTTTTCCAACATCCTCGCGCATCGATTCCATTTCTTTCAACAAATCCTCCCTACTTGCCTCCGCCCTATCTTTGTCGCGATCATCCGTCCTCGTCATCCCGGGAAAGTGCTCTGATACCAATTGATAAGCACGTAAAAGAATCTAAACAATTCAAGACAATCAATCACTAGAATTATGCACAACGAGCCAAAATGCGAGCTCGAAAACTGAATTAATGGCAGAAGAATACAAATCGGTGACCTAGGTATGGGGGTGCTCGAGTGACCCCGTGCACTCCCTATTCTAACTTGTCTAAGAAATTCAAGATAATCCTCGATGAATCCCCTTCCCTTCTATTTATACAATACTTATTCCAGTAACTAACTTTCCCCCTAACTTTACAGCCTAACCAACTAATTGCTGACTATCTACTACATAACCGCCTCCTGACTCACCAGCTCACTCATGACTTGCCAGCTCATCTCTCTGCCCTGCCAGCTCATCACCCTGTCCAGAAATACCTCCTTGACTCATGTCTCCATTACCATTCCCTGCACCAGCCACCATCCTCTCCCGAGTCTTCCTCCGCACGTAGGTAAAACGCAAAGGAGGCTTATTAGAAGTTATGCTCAGTTGTGGAAAACGTAGGTAAAACGCAAAGGAGGCTTATAAGAAGTTATGCTCGGTTGTGGAAAAAAGCATGGCTGAAATTTTGTATGATTCAACTATAAGAAGTCTTTACTGATTTAAATGAATCTGATAAACAACAGTACTATACAGTTTTGAAGCATCACTAATTCGTTATTAGTTATTATTAATATTTGTGAATTATTTATACAACTCTAAAATTGCTTTATCCAGTTTTCCCTTTGCCTTTACTTGAAGAGGTAGAACTATTAGACACAAACAACAGGACAAATATAAGGCAATTTGGAGGTCTTAATTTCGAAATTGGTAAGAATTACTCTGATCCTTCTCTTTTAATATTATGAAGGATTTATGTTAGTTATGATTTATAGAAAGCATCCTGAAACTCATTTCAGGTGAAACATCGGAGCGAATAAATCAAACAAAGGAACATAGTGGATTTCAAAATTCAACAGGTATCAAATACAATCTTCTTCCAAATTTTATTTAAATTACTTTATTAATTTTTCTATTTCTAGTTTCATTTTGTTCAAATTTCTTGTCAGAAGATCAATATAATAAGAGTGTACACAAAGACCACGCATTACAAATATTGTAAACGAACCTGAAAAACTGATATCACCTACATCATGTTAATATTGCAATGCAAAGAAATTTGCTCACGAGACGAGAAAATTTTGTTGTTGTAACGGAGAAATAGCATTGATTACAAATGATATTCCCGAAGAAACCTTCTGCATCGAAAGAATCTTCACATTTCAGAACTTATATTCAAATTTATAATAATAATTTCGCTTTTATTTCATTCGGTGTTAGATATGATGAAGAATTATGTAAACGGAATAAAGGTGTTTATACTTTTCGAGTTCAAGGACAAGTTTATCATTATCTTAACGATCTTATTTAAACAAATAATCATCTAAGTAATTTACAACTATATTCCTATGATACTGAATATGAAATAAAAAATCGAATTTAGAATTCTTCTAATTGAAATGCATCGATTACAAGTAAAATAATAGATATATTAAAAATTAATCTATATTGTTCTTTTTTCCCGTTATCTTAAAGATATAACCAACTTACCAAGTTATACAATTTGTATCAAAAGTGATATTGAATTAGATCAAAGAGTATACAATATCCTTTTAGCTTTGCAAGTTGCAGCTATCTGGTTAGATGATAATGTCGTAGAATACAAAGGTTTTGATATAATTGTTTATTCTCATTCCTGATATACTCATAAAGTTGAAAACTATTTTGGATGGTATGATCCTCTACGATACCCTCTACTATTTCCATATGGAAATGTTGGTTGGCATCGGGGATATTAAAAGTGGACAAATAAAAGATAGGAGAACAAAATTGTCAAAAGTGTGGTTCTCTTCACACATTTTTTTTTTACTCTTTACACCTACTTTCTAAATACACACCTCACTTAATTTTAAAAGGATCAAATTTACTTTTTACACTCTTATTATTTCAAGATTATCCCCAACTATTTTCATAACATAATACTTTTAAACATTTTACTTTCTTTTCACACCCCTATTTTTTTAAATTTTTTATTTAAGATTATTATTATTTCTTTCTCTTTATTTTTTTCGAAGTTTTGGGCATGAAGACTTTTCTCATACAATAAAAAAAAATTACTATTACAACTTTTTTTAGAAAAATAAAAAACATTAATATGAGCATAACAAACATAATTGTTACATCTTTTCAGCGAAAAAACATTTTACATTAATTTGAGGTATTGATCAAAAAAGACAAAATAGGGGAAAAAGCAAATTCTAAAGAGTATAAACAAAAAGAGAGAATGAAACATAAAAAAATAACCAACGTTATAGAAACAAAAAGACCAAATGAAATAAAAATCCTTTAATAACCAAAATTATAACCAAAATGAAATAAACATCCTTTAAAAAAAATTATTAGTAAAAGGACAAAAGATTCGAGATATAATATGTGGGGGTGTGTTGAAACAAAAAATAGGTAATTAGTTTTCTTTTATAATAAAATTTAGTTGCGTAATTAAGTTATTATAATTGTCTTCTATTGTCAATTTATTTGAGGATCTTTTTGTCATAAAATTTTAATTAATTTTATTTAATCCCACCTTTTTATTTAATTTATTTATGTTATTTTAATTTAATTTAAGTGAAATAATTTGGGGGTGTGCAGAGTAAAAAAAAAAAAGTACGTGAATAGAACCATCATTGCCAAAATCAATAATTGATAAATCCTGAAAAGACAAATATCTGCGGATAAATTACTATAAAATGAACTTACATGTACTTTTTTTTTCTCCCTACATGTTTAATTTCAAATTTATCTCATTATTATGTTTTTTTTTTTTTTTTTTTTTTTTTTTTTTTTTTTTTTTTTTTTTTTTTCCATTTCAGTATCAAAAACAAAAAAGAAAAACTTTATCACCTGTCGTGAATATTATTGTTGCCAATTAGAAATTAGATCAATAGATAAATCTATGTTATTACATTCTTGTTGTCTTTTCCAACAATGTGCTGTAGGTATGTATGTTAAACTTAAAACTCAAAGATTAGATTTTTTTAAGATACAATCAAAGTTAAATTTGAAATGAATTGTACCAAGGTATTATTGATAGTATACAAGTTGGTGAAATAGGGAAAGGATTCATTTTACTTGCATCTTTTATTGGTGATCCAAGAGACATGCGTAAACGATCTATGAATGCTATAACATTAGTGCTACGCTCCGGTAAAATGTGTATATTTTTAACTGTAACATGTAATCCTAATTGGTATGAAATTAAAAAAGAATTAGAACCATATGAAAAAGCTCAAAATACACCTGATTTGGTAACTCAGACATTTAAAGTTAAGTTAGACGAATTAAAGCATGAATTATTTGAGAAACAAATATTTGGTACTATTGCTGCATATGTATACGTTATTAAATTGAAAAAAGGGGCCTTTCACATGCTCAGTTTTTAATTATTTTAAAAAACAATACTAAAATATTACCCCAGAAGCTTTTGATAGAATCGTTATAGCTGAAATTCCAAATATAAATGAAAATACACATTTGTATTCAACTGCTATTAAACATATGATAGCATCGTCCTTGTGGAAATTTAAATTAAAATAATACTTGTATGAAACAAATAATACAAATTGTTGAAAATGGTGTCTTAGAAGTATGATATGTAATATGATATTTATTAATAAAAGAGTTTATTCATTATTTTAGTGCATATATTAATGAATATTTTATAAATATCAATGAAAATTTCATGATTATTTATGTGACCTTAATATTGTATATAAGTGTTATATGCGAGAGGATAATAATCAAAATGATGTTCGTAATGAATTTAATTAAAGTTTAGAATCTTCAATTAAAACATTATTAATACATGTAGTGCTGGAACTTTAGATGGGCCGTCCGTGACCGCCTGAAAATACAGAGTTTTTGCCCGATGCCTGACCTGACCCGCCCGCCCGAGCCCGAGAAGGCCCGTGGATGGGCCGCGAGCTTGTATTTGGCTACCCGAGCCCGACCGGGCAGCCTGAGCCAGCCTGAAATGCCTGAAATTTTTTTTATATTTTTTTAATTTTTATAAGTATTAAGTTATTTTGTGTTAAAATTATATAAAAATTAAAATCAACATTCAACACACATTATTAACACAATTTAATAAATTAATTTTGTATATTAATTTTTAAATTCGTAATTCATGATTGTCTCATTAAAAATCTTACTAAGAAAAACCTAATTGGGATAAAAACTTGGTAAGGAAAAAAGAGTGCAATAATTTTGTGACGAATTACAAATTTTACAAACTTATACAATTATAATGTCAAAAGCTAATACATATTTACAAATTATAAATTTACAATTTAATTTGAAATTTAATTTGAAGTTGAAGGATCGTCTTCAAAATTAAATGTTAATATATTAAATTCATCGATTCATTCTTGACTTGTCGACGAAATTGTATCCTGTAGACGTTGATCGGTACGATCTAAATCCTTAATGCAGACCAAGGCTTCAACAATGTCCATTTGTAATGCGTTTCGGCGTTCCTCAAGTAGTCGTCATGTCGTATTGAAAGTTTGTTTGGATGAAACAATGGAGATTGAGATTGAAAATATATCCATTGCCAATCGAGTTAGAATTTGCTAAGTTAATGGTCGTGCCCCCCACCATTGAATTAAGTCAAACAATTCTCTAGTACCGTCGACTACTAAGCTTTCGCTGAGGTACATCATAAGCTCGTTGATGCTGCTGCTGCCGCCGCTGCCACCTGCAGATGAAGATCCACTCTCAGCTTCTGTTTGAGTTGTCTTCTTCTTTTTCTTCAACTTGAAAACATTCAAGAATGAATGTGGGTTTTCATCTTGTTGTTGCGGTTCATGTACTCTAGAGTTTGTGCTTCTAAACCTATTCTCATATTTATTATAGATTGAATATATTTTTTCTGTTATTGTTGGAAATTGGTTCGAACAATTGATGCTTAAAAATTCATCTAAGTTTCTAAACCACTTTCTAAACCGTCTAATTTTAATCTAGGATAAAAAATAGTACATAAACCATACAACAAAGACAATTTAGACCAATATTTTTTAAATTTCTTTTCCATAGAATGGATAAGAACTCTTAAGATTGAGTTCTCCTTATATTCATTAAATAAAATATTAATTCTTAAAAGTTCACCTAAAGCTAAATGTGGTGTTGGGTATTATGTTCCACTAAGTTTTAAAGTAATTTCATGAAACCTACCTAAAAATTGATAAAAAAACTTCAGCAATTTGCTAATCATATGCGTCTATATGTCCTACTCTTAATTATGTGACACGTGCAACGTTGATGGAAAATAGTACCGTCACCAAATAAACTTAAATCATTTTTAAAGAACTCAATTGCTTTTGTATTGGCACTAACATTATCTAATGTTATAACTATTACTTTATATCTTAATCTAAATTCATCAATTACATTTAAAATTGTATTATATATTAAATCTGCGCTATGTGATCCTAGAACACATTTAAAACTTAATTTTTTCTTATCTAAATCGAATAATTTAAAGTAATGTCCTGTTACAGCTAAATAATCTTAATTGGCAATGACAGACTAAATATCTGCCGTTAACGCAACGCATCCATTAGTCGAGTGTAAACAGTTTATTAATGCTTATTTTTCTTTTTTAAATAATTTTAATAAATCTTTCCTAAGAGTAGTTTTTGAAGTGAACTGTGCATTAGGATTATGTACAACATTAATATATCGTTGCCAATTATGATGCTCTACAAAACTAAGTGGTTGATCTAATGCAGTTATCATTCGCGCAACTTTCGTACGATCTACTTGCGGATCGTATTTCCAAGTGTTTATACCACCGGTTGCGCGATTAAAAGATAATTGTGTTTTGTGGAGTTCGGGTCCGCTGGACTGGCCAAGCTTTTGAAGACACTTTTCGGAGTGTCTTCTCAAGTGTGTGGTGCCGTGAATAGTATCATCTTGTAATTTAGATAAACAATATTTACACTGAGCTATATGTTTAGTGTTACCTTCATTGTCGATATTCTCAATTGTGTCGAAGTGATCCCAAACTGTCGAGGTGTGCTTGCATTTTCTCCTGGAGGTTGCAACACTTGCAGATGTAGTCGCACTTG